GAAGACACACGCCCCGTGTGGTTCAGTCTGCATTTTACCAAGAACCATTGCATATACTTTATTCTGGCCGACTCAGCATTTAACTGGTCACAGCTCTATAACACCTTTGTGTGTGTAATCTGCTCCTTATAGCTTAAAATTATTATATTCGTGTTCTCTTGCCAACAAAAAATAGCTCTTAGTAGTTACTAACTGTTCACAGTTCCACAGGGAATCAGGGTCAGAACCTGTTTCGGGACCCCCAGGCAAGAGCAGGCAGAACTTTGGTGTGGTCCAGATTGTCCAGTGGTCTCCTTGTTTTAGCACAGTGATGACAGAGACCCCACACTGCTGTGGCCTTTTCTGATTGAACTTGAAGAACTGCACTGTTAGGTACAGTTTCATGGAGTAACCTAAAAGACAGACAACCATTCAGATCGTCGTCCTCCTGTGTGCGAGCGTTGTGTAGTTCAGAAGCACATATTACAAGGCCGTCATTACACCCCGCCATGCTTACCATTCACTTGGCACATGTGCGGTTAGTGGGCTGGGACGCCAGGGCTGGCCTTGGTGCTGCAGAGCTGAGGTTGCCCAGGCCCTCCCTGCCCATGGGGCTCCCTCCTCTGAGGCTGGGTCAGGGCGGGAGGTTTCACTGAAGCGACTGTAGCGCTTGCTTCTGTCCCTGGCCTCTGCAACCCTGGAGAGTCGGACAGTGAGGTGGCCTGGGTGGACATTCCTTCCGCTGCACCCTGCAGTGGATGACGTGGGACAGAAGGCCGGGACAGAGCCAGGACGTGGTTTTGGTTTGCAGGAAACTTGCCTTGAAATATCACCCCGACAAGAATCCTGACAACCCGGAGGCTGCAGACAAGTTCAAGGAGATCAACAACGCCCACGCCATCCTGACGGACGCCACAAAAAGGAACATCTACGACAAGTACGGCTCGCTGGGGCTCTACGTGGCCGAGCAGTTTGGGGAAGAGAACGTGAACACCTACTTCGTGCTGTCCAGCTGGTGGGCCAAGGTGAGGGGCGAGCTGCCTGCCGTGTGGGCACTGAGGTCACTCCATGCCTGCAGGGTTTCCGGCACTGAGGAGGCCATGTGTTTGATGCCAGCGCTCTGCACTCCTGAGAAATGGTTTCTGGGCATATGGAGCCTTTCTCCGCACCCTGCATGATGGGCAGGGTGTGTCACTGACTTGATGTCCTGCCTGGAACAAGCCAAAGTGCACAGATTGCCCCAAGGAAGAGCCGTGTGGAGCCACCAGATTCTCTTCTGTAGATGGCTCCCAGTCCTTCACAAGACAGAGGAGGAAATAACTCTTGATGTTTCTTCATTTCCTTGTTTTGTTCCAAATGTCTGTCATATATAAGGCCAGAGAGTTTGAATGACCTCGTGGCCTTTGTGAGAAGCCTATATTTGACTTTGACTCGTTGGCCTCCTCACTTGCATCCTTATAAAGTGTTTTTTACTTAGTTAGTTTTAGAGACAGAGTCTTGCTCAGTTGCCTGGACTGGAGTGCAGTGGTAAATTCCTAGCTTGCTTTTTTTTGTTTTTGAGATGGAGTCCTGCTGTGTCACCCAGCCTGGACTGCAGTGGTGTAATCTTGACTCACTGCAACCTCTGCCTCCTGGGTTCAAGTGATTCTCCTGCCTCAGCCTCCCCAGTAGCTGGGATTACACGTGCCCGCCACCACACCCAGCTAATTTTTTATGTTTTGGTAGAGATAGGGTTTTACCATGTTGGCCAGGCTGGTCTTGAACTGACCTCAGGTGCTCCCCGCCTCGGCCTCCCAAAGTGCTTGGATTACAGGCGTGAGCCACTGCGCCTGGCCGACCCTAGCTTACTTTCACGTTCAACTCCTGGGTTCAAGTGATGCTCCCACTTCAGGCTCCTGAGCTGCTGGGATTGTAGGCGTGAGCCCCATGCACAGCCTGGAGACTGCTTTTCTGGAAGCAGCGGATTTCGTTCTGTATCTCCCCTCATCCCTTCCTCAGTTCTTTCCTTCTGCTTCCTGTCGGGAAGGCAGTATCCCTATCTACCTGCCCGCTGCCTTATGCTGGGGGCGTTCGGGAGCCCTGCCCTCTCCAGGGGCCTCGGAGGCCGTGCGACGCCACCTCCTTCTCCCCCCAGGCCCTGTTTGTCTTCTGCGGCCTCCTCACGTGCTGCTACTGCTGCTGCTGCCTGTGCTGCTGCTTCAACTGCTGCTGCGGCAAGTGCAAGCCCAAGGCGCCTGAGGGCGAGGAGACGGAGTTCTACGTGTCCCCCGAGGACCTGGAGGCGCAGCTGCAGTCCGACGAGAGGGGTGAGTGCCCGCCCCGGGGCCCGAGTGTGTGGGGCAGAGCCAGACTGGGCCCTGAATGTGGCAACCTGTCTTGTCAAACAGGAGGGCACTGACACTGTGCCGCGAGTGTTTGTGGTGGCAGCTGGGACTGTTGAGGTGTGAACGTGGACCCTGAGGTAAAGCAGGCGCACAGAGCTGTCCCCACCGTGACCTGACCTGCGGTAGCCGTAGAGCCCAGGGACTGCGAGGCGGGGCAGGGCGGCAGGCAGGCGGGGCGGGCCGAGGGCCGAGGGCTGGCGGTGACCCAAGGCCACGGAGGAAAGCTGTGCGGGGTGGAGGTCGGCGAGCAGCCTCTCCCCGTGAGCGTTTGTCCGGGTGCCTGCAAGTCATCCCGCAGGACCAGTGGTGGTGCCCAGCAGGCTGCGGCCCTTGTGCAGTGCGCTGTGTGCTTGCCTTTCAGAGGCTACAGACACGCCGATCGTCATACAGCCGGCATCTGCCACCGAGACCACTCAGCTCACAGCCGACTCCCACCCCAGCTACCACACCGACGGGTTCAACTAAAGCCGGGAGCAGCTGTGGTCAGGGGAGGAGGCAGCACCGGCCACGCCAACCTTAGAATCATGAACTGTAGTCACAGACGGGAAGGCGGCCTCCTGCCTGCCCTGGCCACGCCCCTCCTGCCTCCACGCCCGCCCAGCGTCGACCCTTGACCCACGAAGTGCGTAGCATGCAGTATTTAAAGCAGTGTAGCTACGGTCTTCTGTTCTTTTTCCTTTTTTAATAGCATGTGCGGGGTTCCGTTCCATGTCTGTGTTGTGGACGTTCCGCGGCGTGGCCGCGTTAACCGCACGGTGGAGCTGCCTCCCGGCTTTCGGTCAGGGCGGTCCAGTGAGGGGTGATGGCAGCTGGTCAGAGGGGCGAGAAGAACGGGGCTGCCCTTCCTCCCTGTGCTGGAGGCAGGTGGTGCCTGGCGGAGCTGTGTTGCCGTCCTGGCCTCAGGGTCTGGGCCACACGCTGTGCTCCCAGCCTTGAGCAAGCGGCAGCAGGGCCCTCCTCCTGCCCGAGAAGGGGCGGGGCACGTCCTCCCTGCGTCACCATCATTCCTTGGTGTCTGCTGGGTACAGTTGGCTTGGGGACTGTGGTTTCCTGGGCCTTGTGACAGGGTTTCTCCCGCGGGTGAATTTGGTGTGGAGAGCGTCAGAGGCCCTTCTGAGGTGGATGCCGCGTCCTCTGCACAGTGTTCTAGCCTGGGTCTCCTTGTTGCGTGGACTCTGAGGTTTAGGTCCTTGGAGGTGTGTCCTTCGCCCGTGTTGGGGTGGTTTGTTGGTGTTCCTGCACTTTTCCGGGGCTGTGAGCTGGATCGATGGGGCCAGTCTCCCCCTCCGCAGTCCTGGGGTCATTCTCCACATTCCTTCCAGCCCACCAGTCCTTTCCAGAGCCCTTTTTGGACCTTTAGAACCACAGATGGTAGGACCAGCCCGAGGAGCCACAGTCAGAGTAGTTCATGCATGTGTGAGCACCCAGCCACTGGGGATGGCGGCTCTCCCAAGACCCCTCCTCCCGTGTTTGCCAGAGCTCCCGTCTGCCCCACTTGCCTTTGCCCCGTCATCGATGATTCAGGCAGAGACAGATTCGTTAGGTCCCTGGAGGAAGGACTGACTGGACCAGAGCGACCCTCCGGCTCAGGAGGGTTGGGTCCCTGGGAGGCCAGCAGCCAGACCACGGAATCCACATGTGGACCATTGGAAGTCAGTCTCTTGTCCATCCTAGACCTTGTAGGTGGCACCCAGAGTAGGGGAGCAAGCCTGTGCTGGCAGAGGGGTCAGAGCTGCCCCACTCGGTAGCTCTTGGGATGTGCTGGGCCTGCCCTTGGCCCCGTGCTGTAGACTCCAGTGGGCCTGGTTTCTGCAGAACATCCACGATGGCCTCCGCAGAGTTCCCAGTAGAGATGAAGCTGAGGAAAAGGCTGTGTGTCTTGGCTCTGGCTTAGACCAACCAGACGAGCCTCCTCCAGCTCCCTTTCCCTGCCTGCCTGCTGACTCATTGCCCTCAGCGGCCCACCCAAGGCTGTGTAGAGGGTAGGTTCAGGGTGACCAGAAAGTTGCCAGAAGGGGCATGGATGTGAGGCAGATCTGGACGTGCTTAGGAGTGGTTTCGGTCCTTGGTGCTGGTTGCCCCCAGCTGCCCCCGACTGCAGATCCCCATGTAGGCCGTGAGCCAGCTGCCAGCACCAGGTCCTGGGGTGGTTGTGTTTGTCCCACGTTTCTTTGGTTTTTCTCACTAAAATGATCATGAAGACATTTGATGAGGAGAGATACGCACTGTGATATTAAGTTAGAAATAATTTGTCAAAATCGGACCTCTCCTGAAAGAATAAGAGACTCATTGTTTGGCCCGTCCTGAGTAAGAGGTGGTGAGACAGTGAGAGCTTCCATGCCACTCAACACAGCAGCAAGGTCAGCCCGAGAGGCCGGCCATCGGCAGCCTTTGCAGTTTTTATAGACGTAACTTAGGAAGTGAGTTATTTTTCCCCAGACTGGCCAAGAGCCAAGTTCTAAGCTCGGACCTAAGGTAGAAAGCTGCCCATCTGGGGCTGGCTCAGCCCCACAGGCTCTCTGTCGGCTCACACAGCTCTGTGGCTGGAACCCTCCAGGGCCCTTTGGTACCATCAGAGCAGGCCGTTTGCCAGATGGCTTTTCAGTTACAGTGTCCAATGGACCATTTTTTAGAACCATGCAGCTCCCCAAAGAGGGTGGGGTAGGGTGGGGGAGAGGAGCAGGTCTGGAGGATTGTGGAACCCAGTCCCTGCAGAATTTGTAAAACGTAAATAAACCATGCCCATGACAATTCTCACGGTAGTGATTGTGATTAGAAGACCCCCCAGGAAGCCCAGACCCTCGGGCGTGCAGTTCCTCTCACTGCCTGACCTGGAAACAAACCCTGTTTTCCGCGTTCTGCACTGTTGGTTTTAACGCCTTGTCTTAATTCAAGGAAAAAGATACTCCTGGGTTTTATTTCTCTTTTTCTTGAGTAGACCGTTACCTTGTTAATTAAAAGAGGTGATGAGCCCCTGGGACAGCTTACAGGCCTCCCTGTCCAGGGGAGGACAGGGGAGACCAGGATGCACCCGGCACCCCAGCCTGCTGGTGGCAGTGACAGGAGCTTCCTGACTCCGCACCCTTGGGGCTGTGGGCGATGAGTGAGCCGGTGGGGCCTGGGCAAAGAGCAGCCCATCGGGCGCGGCTGCCAGGGGCCTGCTGGGGTCATCGTGCTTCAGGGCCTGTCCGGCTCACGAGGAGTCCAGGCAATACGGCCAGCCTCGGACCTGCAGGAGGTGTGGGGGCGGCCCTGCGGCCCTTTCACGGCAGCTGCTGGTGTGGAGATTTGTCCCCACTCGGTGAAGTGGGATTTTTGTCTTCCTTTTGGCTTTATTTTTAAACTGCTTTAGATATTACTGCTCAGTGTTTGTGAACCTGCCTAGTTCTGATGTTCAGTTAATGTAGCCGGCACCCAGTGGGGACCTATTAGAAAAAGAACCTCACGTGTGCACACGCCCAGCAGGACGTGTCATCTCTATCGGCTGCTGCTGCCATCCAGGAAAGACCCTGGAGCCTCAGGCGGCTGAGACTGCTCTCGGGGGCTGCATGTCCCCTGCCACGCCCAGGGCGCCTGTTCGGGGTGGGCCGGGTGCTGCGGGGGCACCAGCACACAGGCTGCGGCTGGAGGGTCTGTTTGCTGTGGGCAGAGCTCGACTGGGTCTCGTCTGCCCTCCCTTGGCTCTGACTCAGTGCATCCTACTGTGGGGCATCTCCTGAGGGGACATGAAGTGACTGATCTCACCCTTTCCCAGTATTTGGAGCTGTGAACCCATGTGGCGCAGGACTGACCTGTGTCTGTTATTTTGATTGTGAATCATCCTCCTGTGGAATTGGCAAAAGCTACATTTTTACTGTCCTTACCAGCAACGGTTCGCGTCGTCACATGCTGTGAGTGTGGGCTGTGATGTGTCTGTGTGTGTACATATGTGTATATGTATATATCACGCAGCAAGCGTGTCGTGCTGCTGTCAGCGGGCAGCAACAAGTACAGTAAAAGGCGGCTCTCAAACAGCCTCTGGTTCTGGACGAGTTGAGCCAGGGACCTGCAGGAGGCCTTCCTAGCAGGTGCACAGAAGGGCCGGCTGAGCCCACTGTGTGCAGAGTGTGTGCCCAGGGCACTGCCATGGCCCCACCAGCATTGGCCTCTGGTCTGCGGGGTCGGGTGCCCGTCCTGGGGACTCTGTGTCGTGCTCACCTGACCCAGGTGTGTGTCCTGGTGTGAAATCTAGGAGGTGACTGGAAACCCTTCCCTCCCTTGAAACATTAAAGCCAATTTTCTAGCAACAGATACAATCAGTGGCAAAGCTGCCTCTGGAGGGCAGCCTGGGAAGGGGACCTGTCCTGGCCCCAGGTCCGCCCCAGAGGAGTTCACACAGCACTACGCTCCAGAAGGGGCTGGGCCTGGGGTCCTGTCAGCGGCAACTTTTGGTAGATTTTGTTTTCCTGGATACTGGGGAGATGTTTCAAGCCAGATGGGGGAAGAAGTTAACACTGAAGTATGTATTGTTTTTAAAAATCCAGTGCAAACACATGGAAGCTGGTTGTCCATGCCCTGGTTTTGTCGCTGGCGCCCTGGAGTCCGACTGTGTTGGGTGCAGGCGCTGTCAGACCTCCGGCTGACCCTGGCCCGGGCATACACTTCCAAGGGCCAGGCTGGTTTCGCATGGTGATCTCCGTCTTGTATGTCTGAATGTTGACCTAAAATAAAGATTACGTTGTAAAATAAATGTTTTCACTGCAGACCACACGTGTGTCTTATTTACTGGTCCTGCAGATCCCTGGTTTTGGAGAGTCTGGCAGTTGACCTTAGGAGCCCCCTGCACCCCTTGTGGCTGGAACCTCACTTTCCTCCTGCCTGGTCCAAACGCTCCCATTCGCTTGGTTCTCTTTTCACCTCCATTTTCTTTCTTTCTTTCTTTTTTTTGAGATGGAGGTTTGCTCTGTCACCCAGGCTGGAGTGCAGTGGTGCATTCTCGGCTCACTGCAACCTCCACCTCCTGGGTTCAAGCAATTCTCCTGCCTCAGCCTCCCAAGTAGCTGGGATTAAGGCGCCCACCACCACACCCAGCTAATTTTTTTGTATTTTTAGTAGACACGGGGTTTCACCATGTTGGCCAGGCTGGTCTTGAACTCCTGACCTCAGATGATCTGCCTGCCTCGCCCTCCCAAAGTGCTGGGATTACAGGCATGAGCCAACATGCCTTTTCACTTCCATTTTCTAAATATCAAGACAGGAGCAAAGAGGCTGGGTGTGGTGGCTCACGACTGTTATCCCAGCACTTTGGGAGGCCAAGGCAGGTGGATCATCTGAGGTTAGGAGTTCGAGACCAGCCTGACCAACATGGCGAACCCCTTCTTTACTAGAAATGCAAAAATCAGCTGGGTGGTGGAGGTGCATGCCTTTAATCCCAGCTACTTAGGAGGCTGAGGCAGGAGAATCGCCTGAATCCAGGAGGCGGAGGTTGCAGTGAGCTGAGATTGTACCACTGCACTCCAGGCTGGGCAACAAGAGCGAAACTCCATCTCGGGGGGCGGGGGAGAATACAAAAAAATTGGCCAAGCATGGTGGCTCACGCCTATAATCCCAGCACTTTGGGAGATCGAAGTGGGCAGATCACAAGGTCAGGAGTTCAAGACCAGCCTGGCCAACATGGTGAAACCCCATCTTTACTAAAAATGCAAAAACCAGCCAGGCATGATGGGGCGTGCCTATAATCCCAGTTACTCAGGAAGCTGAGGCAGGAGAATTGCTTGAACCAGGGCCTGGGAGGGAGAGGTTGCAGTGAACCGAGATTGCAACACTGCACTCCAGCCTGGGCTCTACAGAGCAAGACTCCACTAAAAAAAAAAAAAAAAAGTTTGGGAGCTGGGCACAGTGGTGCGCACCAGTAACCCCAGCTCCTTGGGAGGCTGAGGTAAAAGGATTGCTTGAGCCTAGGGGTTCCAGACTGGCCTGGCCGACATAGCGAGACCTTGTCTCTTGAAAATAAATGAAAATAGTGTGGGAGAAAAGGTATAAAAATACTCAGAATCGGCGGGTGGTGGCTCATGCCTGTAATCCCAACACTTCGGGAGGCCAATGTGGGAGGACTGCTTGAGCCCAGGAGTTCAAGACCAAACTGTGCAGCAGGGAGATCGTGTCTCTACAAAACGAGGTTTAAAATTACCTGGGCGTAGTGTCTGCGTCTGTGGTCCCAGCTGTTCAGGAGGCTGAGGCGGAATGATCGCTTGAGCCCAGGAAGTCCAGGCTACCATGAGCGGTGGTTGCACCACCGAACTCCAGCCTGGGCGGCAGGGAGATCCTGTCTTAAAGCCAAGGTCAATCAGTAAGTCTGTCTATGTAAAATGTAACACCTTGAAATCCTCTATTCAGACTTAAGAAGTATGAAGTAGTTTGTGTCAGATTTTCCATTTTTAAGAAATGACAGCACCAAAGACCAGTCTGTACCCCCCATTTCCCGCCGCTGCTTCCCTAGTTTTGAACTTTGGCACTTTCAGGTCCAGTAAAATGTACCATTGGTTTATACCATTTTACATAAACTGTACTGCACTGTGCTAGCCCACCTGCCTTAGGACTCTTTCGTCCTATATAGTAGTACAAAAATCAAGCCATGTGGTTATATGAGGTCTGGTTCATTTTAGCTTCTGTACAGAATAGTCGCTGCTGAGCCGACCCTGCGGTGGGATCGCTGGGAGCGGGACCGGGGCCAAGAGGCGCTGCGGCGAAGCTCTCCATCCGCCCTGCGGCGCCCCAGCCGTCTGCGTCCACGAGAGTCGGACCACGCTCCCCGCAGCCATGCCTTCCTCGCTCCGGGCGACCGCGAGAGTGCGGTGGAGACCGCTTCCTATCGCGTTGCAGGGGCGTGGTCACTCCGGTGGGGCGGGGCAAGTGGGGTGAGCCACCCACCTGGGGACCAGCGGCGCACCCCGCCTGGCCTTACGGGCAGTGGGAGACCTTCGCGGCATCTGGGAAGAGCGGCCTTGAGCCATCCCTCCGTCCGCAGACCCCTGCCCGGGATCCGGAATCCGAGATCCGGCATAACAGGTGCGGGGCTCGAGGGACACCGCGCTCCTGGCCACGGGCTTCCATGCAGGAAGACGCTAGAGCCCGAGAGACCTCACCGCTGCGAAGAACCACCGGAGGACTGCGTCCCGTGTCAGATGCGCCCGGCCCGTGGACTGAGCCCCCAGTGTCATCCCGGGAGGTTGATTCAGTTATCCGGGCCTCTTCCCACGCTCCAGGGCCCGTCACATGGGCGCTGCGCGCACGCCTCCTCTTCCTCAGTAAACCACCGGCGTCTGCCCTCGGGGAGGATGAGGGGGACTTGCGTGGAGAGCAGGGTGGGTAGGACCTAAGGGAGCCCGGGCTTGCGGGTGTGGGCACAGCAGAGAGCATGGGACGCCTGGGCCTCCTGGTCTGGAGGGGTGCGCGGGTCGGGCCCTCAGCCCGAGCAGCAGCTGCTCCAGCGACGTGGGCCCCGCCCCCACTTCGGCCCTGGTCAGGCTCCCAGTGCTGCGGCCTCCAGAGACTTGTCCTGGTGGGAAGGACCTCCGACTGTGGGGAGGCCCTTGATGGTACAAATATGTAGGGCGGGGGAAAACAGTCACAGGCTGCCTCTTGTGAGACCCAGAGCACCAGGTCCAGGCCAGGTGGCCACCAAGCTGTGGGTTGTAGGGGCCCCATCTAGCAGAGGTAGGAGCTGCAGGGCCCGGTTCTACCCCTTCTTTGATCTGGTCCTGCAGGAGAGAAGGCAGGGCCTTCAGCTCTCTCCCTCTCCGTGGGGAGTCTCCACAAACCCAGGCCTCAGCCAGGACACCACTCCTGTGCGGTAACCAGCGAATCACATCTTCATTTTTCTAAAGCTTTATTTTATAAAATGCATATAAATTATACTGGTAACATTTTAAAAATTAAATTAACATCTTTGTATTCAGCAATCCTGGGTCTGGAGGCAGGAGGAGGGTAGTGGCGACGGGGCGGCTCACTGAGCGGCTAACCCGTGTAGGGTTCCTCCTCGTCACTGCCGTCGGGTACCGCGTCTGTCCCAAAGTAGCGGTCGCCAAAGTTCCCTGGACAAAGAAGCAGGCCAGTGTCGGGGGGCCTCCCAGGGCCACCCACCCTGCCCTCATGCACGGCCGAGGGGCCTGGGCAGCCTCACCAATGCCTGGGATGATGCGGAAAAGGTCATTAACTCGCTTGTCCACCGCCGTGGTGATGATTCTCACTCGTGGAAATGCATAGGCCACTGAGTGCACGCCCATCTCTGCCATAAGCAGTGACAGCAGAAAGATCTTGTCCTCAGGCACGTCGTGGTCCTGCCGAGTGTACGGGCAGGTCAGTCCCACGTCTGCCTGAACCCGGCCCGCCTACCCAGGACCCACTCACCAGGAGCACGCGCACTGCCATCATGGCCGCGGCACCAGTGGACACGGTGCAGTCCATGAGGATCACGTGGTCATCGCTGATGTCCTTGGGCAGCCTTAGGTAGTGGAGCTGCCGGCAGCATGGGTCAGGCTGCAGGTGGGGCTCCCCGCGCCCCCTTGCTGGGAGCTCCCTCTGCCCCCAACCCCCGGGCTCATCGCCCCGGCAGCCCCCAAGCACCTCAGGCTCCCCGGTGAGCTGGTTGGTCTGGATGAGGATGGTGCCGATGCGCACGTCTTTGCACACGGCGCGCAACGCGGGCTCCATGGTCTCACCAGCGCGCAGAATGGACACGCCGGTGATCTACGGGGAGGGGAGGCTGAGCGCCCACATCCCGCCCCAGCTGCCTGTCCCGCGTCCAGGTGTGCCCAGGCAGGTACCTGCTTCCCCGCGTAGCACTTGCCCGCGTAGTCCTGCCCCTGTGGGGTCTGCACGACGCAGTCCTGTGGGGAGCAGGGTGAGGGCGCCTGTGAGGGCAGGGAGCCCCACGGCTCCGGGACCCACCTGCCGCCTCGCGGCTACAGACCTGAAAGGGCAGGAAGGAGAGCGCGTGCTCGATGAGCAGCCGCATCAGCCTTTTGGAGTAGAAGATGAACTCGTCGCGACTGGTCTCCTTGTCCCTGTGAGGCCAACGGTTGAGCGGGGGCACGCGCGCGGGGCGTCCTGTCCCCCCACCAGGCGGGCCTTACCTGATGATGGTGTGCATGCCCCGGACCTGCGGCGTGCTCTTCAGGACGCTCAGCGTCCGGGGCAGGGGGTGGCACTGGTGTGCTGAGGCCAGTGCAGCCCTGGGGACAAACCCATTAGAAACACTCAAGAAGGGGTCTTCTCCCACATTCTCCCTCCCCACAGGACGGATGTGCGTCACTGCGAGGGGAACACGTGGGCCAGGTACAGCAGGAGGTGCAGAGCGAGCCTCACTGCTGCCTGGGGCTGACCTGGGGGGATTTGTCGCCCTGCTGAGCTGCCAGGCAAAGGTGAAAGATGGTGGCCAACAGCCGGGCAGCTCACCATCAGGCAGAAAGCTAGGTGGGTAGGGTGTGAGGGCCCCTCCTGGGCTAAGAGGAAGCAGAAGTGGGCCAGGCACAGGGCGGGCTGACTCGTGCAGATAGGTCCCAGAGCCGAGTGGGTGGCTTGGCCCCAGCCTCTCCCTGGGGGAACTAAAACTTGGCGGGATCAAGCCCCGCCCTGGCTCCTCCCCAAGGTGTTGTGTGGCCTCTTTCGAGACGAGGGTGGGGGCAAAGCTGGCTAGAGCCGCCTGGCTACCCCACCACGCTGCTCAAGCCTGGCGAGGGCCGGGGCAGGAGCAGGTCTAGGAGCAGAGCAGAGGCAGGCAGGAAGACAGAGCAGCAAGGGGGCGTGGCAGGGGCGGGGCGTGGCAGGGGGAAAGGAAAGCGGCAGGGCAGAGGCAAGAACGGTGATAGGCAGAGCAGGAAAGGGGCGTGGCAGGGACGGGCGTGGCACGAGCAGGAAGGGGGCGTGGCAGGGGAAAGGCAGGGCAGAAGGGGATAGGCAGAGCAGAAAAGGGGCGTGGCACGAGCAGGAAATGGGTGTGGCAGGGATTTGGGTTTCGCAGGGTAGGAAAGGCGCGTGGCAGAGAACAGGGAAGGGGTATGGCAGGGGCAAAAAAGGTGTAAAAGGGGCAGGATAGTGAATTGGGTGTGGTGCGGACAAAAGAGGGGAAAGAGGTGGGGCAGGGGCAGGAAGGGTGGGTTATGGAAGAGGTGCGGCACGGGCAGAACAGGGGCGTGACAGCCGCAGGGAAGGGGGCGGGGCAGGAGCAGGAAACGGGCAGTGCATGAGGGGGACAAGGGGCTATGGGACGCGGGGCACACAGCAGCACCACAGAGCACTCTGCTCACATATCCCAACGTAGCTTCCTCTGCTTGCCAGGTGAAGAGCATGTTCAGGGAGGGAACAAGGCAGGAAACGGGGGTTTACAAAGAGAAGGAAGAGAACAAAGAGAAGGCTGCTTAGTTGCGGAGCAGGGCATTCCCCGCAGGCCTGAGGAGGAGCGTGGGGTGGGCGGCCACGCCCCCAGCCCTGCCTGGCCCTCCCTCCTTCCCCCAAGCAAGGCCTCAAGGGGCTGGAGAAGGTGAGTGGGGCCGCAGGCCAACGCTTCCTTGGCTGTCCAGACGATGGAAAATGTGTCTGGCTGTGTTCAGGTGTTTTTTCAAGTTTGAAACCCTGGAAACTTTTTCTCAGAACAAAGGCTTCAGGAGAAACCTGACGGGACAAGACCTTTGGGTTTCCTGGCCGCCCAGAGGGCCAAGCAGAGACTCATGCAGGCACAGGAGGCTGGCGGACGGGCCCTGGAGACATTTCCAACGTTTGGTAAACTCTTTGGAGCGCCCTGAGCATGAGGGCTCTCCCACCAGATGGCTCAGCCAGGAGCCTCCCAACCCACAGAAGGCGGGAAGAGAAAGTCCCTCATGGCTGACCCCCTGCCCACCTGCCCTTGGGGAGGGGCGGTGGGATGTGGCCCCCACCCAGCCCAAGCTTCTTGCTGCCCCTGTTCCTGCTGACAGCTTCGAGGGCTGTGTGGAGCTGGGCAGGGCAGGGCAGGACCTGGGTGGGCAGGAGGACAGGGATGAGGCCCTCCAGCCTCCAACCAGGGAAAGCTGACTGGTCCCGTGAGGCACAGGAGGTACCCCAGGCTCCCTCGAAGCTGGGACATGTCTGCTTTCACTGCCCCAAGGGCCCAGCACTGCTGGCTCAGGAGGACAGCTACGCCCTCTGGTGTCACAGAGCCTCCAGCAAAGTCTGGCTAGGCCAGGGTCAAGACCCTGTGACCCTGGGCAAGCTACTTCACCTCTCTGTGTCTCAGTGTCCTGTCTGCCAGCAAGGGGAGACAGAAGCAGGGCTGGGACCATTCCGTACCACCCCTTCTGTCTCTGGGGAAGAGCCGGCTGCCTGCCTGGCTGGATCACAGCCCAGACCCAGGGCTCCCCGCGGGTGTTGGAAATGCCTCCATCTGTGCAAATAGCTGTGAAGTCTTACCTGACGCTGAGTTCACGCTGTGGCAGCAACACAGGGAGACACAAGGCAATGGTGACTTGTCAGTGACCAGGGCAGGTGGCCAGGCCACCCCACCCAGGAATGGACGTGCTGCAGGCCCACTGGGACAGGGCCAGCCATGGCAGGTGGCAAGCTTCTAATGGCCTCTAATCTGGGGACCACTTGGGCCAGACCTGCAGTTCTGGGCTGGGGCAGTCAGAGCAGGACCCTGGGCTCTGTTCTGCAGGCCTCAGGCCTTCAACATCCTGTTAGAAAGTGCTCAAGCTGGCCCAGGCTCCCAGGCCCAGCCATAGAATGCCTCAGGGAGCACGGGACCTCTGGTGGGGGTGTCACTCCTGGGGTGACCCCCTGAGAAAGAGAGGAGCCTGGCCAAATGTGGGACTCAGCAGTGAAACCCCACAGCCCTGGGCCAGCAGGTCATCTCTGTCGTTCTCCAAAGCTCAGGCTGGGTGTGCTGAGTGGGCTGCAGCCTCAGCTAGATCCTGAGCACCTGTACCCCCACCCCAGCTTCCTCAAGGAACCCAGGCCCGGCATGGTACAACAAGCTGGGGTCTGGGCCGGACGATCAGGCTGACCAAGCAGGCTCAGGACACTCAGGGCTGGACCGACGGGACGGTGAATGCAGGGGGATGGGGTGCGCAGGCCACTGAAGGCGGTGGCAGCGGAGAAGCAAGCAGCAGGGTGGGGTCGGGCTCTGGGGTCGTGGGACCTGCTGGGCTGCAGGCCACTCACCTCCTCCAGCTGGCTGTGCACATGCTGCACGATCAGATCGATAGCCACCGTGTTGCCACTCCCTGGGGCAGGACGGGGGGAGGGTGACTGGGGGTCGGACTGTTGGCCTGCCCGATGCCCGCGCGACAGGTGGCCCAGGAGGCTCACCTCTGGGCACCACAATGTCTGCCAGGCGCATGGTGGGCTGGATGTACTGGTCGAAGGCCGGCTTGACAAACTTGTTGTACTGCTTGATGACACCCTCGATGTCCCGGCCGCGCTCACTGATGTCTCGGCGCAGCCGCCGCACCAGGCGGATGTCAGAGTCCGTGTCCACAAAGATCTTCATGTCCAGGAGCTGGTGGAGACGGCAAGCCAGTGAGCGGCTGCTGAGACCACCTGGTCTGTGGGCCTGGTCAGAGCCACTTGCCCCAGGGCACCCTGGCAGGTGGGGATGTCTGGGGGTGGGGTGCTGTCGCCAGGGGCTTAGGTGAAGAGGCATGGCATGGTGGCTGGCTAAGGAGCTGGGCAGGAATGGGGCTGAGTGCACATGATCCCCTTGGCTTGAGTGAACTTGCACAGACACACTGGAAGAGGGGGCATGGCGAGTTTAGGGTCTGTCCGCACGCTCAGCAGAGTTGGCCCCTGAGAGGCCTTGTAGGGGCCAGGGGCTGCTATGTGCTGGACAGTGGGGTCCTCTAGGCCTGTGCCAGGGGCAGGACTTGGGGCCTGGGGTCAGGCCAACCTGAGTCACACTCAGCTCTGTCCTGAAGGCCCCTGTGACCTATAGCAAAGTCTCAAACGCACCAGCCCTGGTTCCCCACCTGTCCCTCAGGACCACAGCAGGGGACGAGAATGACAACATGCCAGGTGTGAGCACGGCCTCAGCCACTGAAGAGGGAACCACTGCCCTAGGCAGCCACGCTCTGCCTTGTGGGGCCAGCAGAGGGCCCCAGCTGTGCTATGCCTGGGGTTGAGGCTGGGGTGGGGAGTGGCTGGCCTAGGCCGATAAAGTGTGGAGGCCTTAGGGACGGGGCAGGAGCACGCACACCTCAGGGACAGGGTAGCCGGGGCCGAGACACCAACAGGGTGGGCGTTCCTGGCAGGTGCTCACCTCCAGCAGCGTCTTGTCAGCAAAGGCCATGATGCCCTCAAAGATGATGACGTTTGCACCATACAGCGTTTTCTGCGAAGGAACCCAGAGTTGTGGAACACTGCTCCAGTGCCTGTGGCCCCCCCAAGGCCCCTCTGCAGGGCCCCGGCCTACCCAGTCCTTCTTCCGGCTGTGTGTGGTGAAGTCATAGATGGGCACCTTGACGCTCTTCCCCTGCTTCAGCTTCTTGAGGGTGGAAATGATGAGGTCGAAGTCAAAGGCGTCCGGGTGGTCAAAGTTGAAGTTGTTGTGTGCGGCCTGTTCCTGCTGCTGCTCAGTCAGCACCTGGTGGGGGAGGCTGTGGAGCGGCTGCGGGCACTGCAGGACCCTCGCCCAGTACCAGCTGGCAGGAGCTCTAGGCCTCCCAGGAGTAGCCACACTGGAGCTCAGAGACCAGGGACCTGCATGTGTGGGGGGCCCAGGGTCAGGGAGAGGAGAAGGGGATCCTCAGAGGAGCTGGGTGGGGGCCCACCTTGTAGAAGGAGTCCATAGACAGCAAGACCACCCAGGGCACGTCCAGGGCCTCGATGATCATTCTGGCCACAGTGGTCTTCCCAGAGGCACTGCCGCCTCCCAGGCCTGCCGGGGGGGAGTGGAGAGCCTCTATGGGGAGCAGACGGGCTGGCCGCACAGACAGGTCCCGGAGGTGCCGGGCTTCCCTCTGGCGCTCCACGAGCATTGGAAGGAGCCAGAGGCAGGCGCCCGGCAGCAGGTCCCACCCTCCCACAGCTCTCACCGATAGCGAAGGCCTCTTTGGATTGCGTGCCGTGCTCATTGTACCAGGGTGGCCGCCCCGCCGTGTAGATGGTGCGTTTGCTGGTGCGCAGCAGGGGAGGCTCCGACTTGCACTGGCTGGTGGTGCGCTTCCGGGGAGAGCGCCCAGCGCCCACAGGTGGCAGGAGCCTGTCCAAGGACTCTGCATTGCTGCTGCAGAGAGGGATGTGCTCGGATTTGGCCCAGGGCTGCCCACCTTCCAGGCACCTGCTAGTGTGGCCAGCCCACAGGGCACCCTCTGCACCCCCCAACAGGCAAGGCTGAGGCGGGCAGGCTCATTGGGGTGAATACGATTTCTCTGCCTGGGCTGGGCACTGTGGCTCACGCCTATAATTTCAGCACTTTGGGAGGCTGAGGCAGGTGGATCATTTGAGGTCAGGAGTTTGGGACCAGCCTGGCCAACATGGTGAAACCCCAACTCTACTAAAAATAAATAATAATAAATACCCAGGCGTGGTTGCGGGCACCTGTAATCCCAGCTACTGGGGAGGCTGAGGCAGGAGAATTGCTTGAAAACCCAGAAGGCAGAGATTGCACTACTGCACTCCAGCCTGGGTGACAGAGCGAGACTCCACCCCCCCCCCAAAAAAAAAAAAAAAAAAAACCACACCCTGCCTGCAGTTGGGCCACAGGATACACAGAGCGAAGTGCTCAGCCTGGCACAGGGCCTCAGATCATCGCTGTCTACACAGCAAGGACAGAGGAACAGCAAGCAAGGACAAAGGAAAGAGGAAAGGCAAGGCACTCTCTTGGGGCCATGCTCCTGCTGTGTGGACGGGCACTGGCTGGGCTGGGCCAGGCCTTGTGCCCAAGGGAACTCCAGGTGGGAAGAGAAAGGCAGGCAAGACCCCAAAGTTGACCATGTTCCCTTCAACCCACCACACTCTCTGGGCAGCCAAATCGCTGCCATGCTGAAGGCGGGGTGCCCAAGGAGGCGTGAGGGCAGCATGTGGGTGGAGGCGAGGCCAGACCAGGCTGTGTGCACACACCCAGGGTGAGGTCCCCAGACATGACCAGCCAGAGGGCTCAGCCAGGACCTGATCCTCCTGCAGTGACAGGACCCTGCACGGGGTGGTGCCACGGCCTGGCCTCTCTGGCCGTCAGAGTGCAGGATGGGGGACCCTGGGCTGGGAGCCTTATGGGAACTCCATTCATTCTTGCTGTGGCCCGTCTTGGGCCCCCAAGATAGAAACCTCCCGCATGCAGCAAACACCAGAGACGAAGGTGCTGCCACCTGTCTGGGCTGCCTGGGAGCTGACCTGTGAGCCTGCCTGGGGCAAGGGGGAGCCCCCAGAGGCTGCTGTGCCTCTCAGAGACAGACAGGCTTGTCTGTTTCCACACTGCCTTCAGGGGAGTGAGCACTGGGAATACCAAGCCAGTCAGCCTCACGCAGCATCCCTCTCTCCGGAGTTTGCTCTGGGGCTGAGCGCAAATACAAGTGAGGGGGCCTGGGGACAGTGCCACTCCACCAAGCACTGAAAGGGGAGCAGGTGCCGTGGTACTGCGCCGTGACCGCATCGGGGCTGCGGCTGGCATGGGACCTACACCCCACTCAGGTCTGCCTGAACGGTCATCCGTCAAGAAGGAGGACGGGACCCAGCAAACAGAGCCACGACCACCCAAGGGCCCGGACACTACCAACACGCCAGCGGTAAACAAAAGGGCCTGCAAGGCTCACCCCCAGGGGCCACCTCCTCAGGCTGCAGCAGCAGGTTCCCAGCAGACAGCAACTCTCTGGTGGCCCTGGGGGCCGTGGTGGGCAAAGAACACATCCGGGCGGCCCCTCCCCTCGATGCTTAACCCTGGCATCTGCAGGGAATCACCCGGTCTTCAACCTCAGGGAGGAAGCTCCAGCACAGACAATCTGACTTGCAAACGGGCAGAGCTCTCCAGCAAAGCTCCCAACACTGCCCCTGCTGCTGATGGCACTTCCTCCACGCACCCTGGATTCCAAGGGTGAGCCTGCTAACGCATGGCTGGGATGTAAACCTGACAGTGCAGGCCGGGCTCACACCGTGCTGGCTTCCACTGCTGGTCTCCTGGTGCTCAGGCCTCCCCCGCAGGAGCCTTCCAACCCCGCCTTTGTGACTCTTCCTCATCCCACTGAATTAATAACCTGTCACCACAGATTCCCTCCCGAGGTGCACACTGCTGACCGCCAGGTGCTGGCCCTTCTGCTGGGAGCGGTGCCCATGCAGTGGAACAGTCACAAGCAGGCCAGGACGACTCTGCCAGAAACCCCCTCACCGCAGGCCTGTGATGGTGTCAGGCCAAGTCTACACAAGCCAGCCCCTACCTTCTCCAAAGCAAGCCTGTCTCTGAGAGCCAAGGACAAAGCCTCACCCCACTTTTCATAAGCAGCACCCCTCGAGGGGAATGTTGGCCAGGTGTGCTGGCTCATGCCTGGCATAGCCCTTGGGAGGCTGGGGTGGGAGGACGGCTTGAGGCCAAGAGTTCATGACCAGCCTGGGCAACGTGGGGAGACTTTAGAATATTCAAAATAAATTAACAAATAAATATCGGACAGGAGAAAGTTCCACAGCAAACCTCATTTCCTGTGGAAAAGGGTGCTTCTGGCCATGACACCAGAAGGTTAATTCCAAACCAGAGGGTTCAGAGCCGTAACCAACACGAGAGGCACACCCAGAACAGCGGCCCCATGCAAAACCGCGCCTTCAACCCCAGGCTCTGCCCGGTGCCCAAGAGCACCTGCCAGCCTGATTGATTCCTGATGTCCGATGTCCACAGACATGCACCGAACACAGGTCTGAGTGGCCAGGACCACAGCACAGGTGGCCACCCCTCACAGCAGAGACCTCCTGCCCAGACTCACCTGCCTTCTGCTCCAAGGGCCCGGCACCCTGAAATCCTGATGCCAGGGTAAGCTGGGGGGCTGTTCATGACGGAGAACACGGGTGGGTACTCCTGGACTGCGAGCGGCCCCGGGGGTACGTGGGGCTCAGGTGCAGGCAGTCACGGGGGACATCAGCACCTCAGACCCATAGTGGTCCCCTAGGGCAACTCAGGAGCTCTGGCCACCCAAACTGCCCTTCCATGGGCAGGACTAGTCCTATGGGCAGCACAGTGGTTGGAGAGCCAGAGGGCTAAGACCCTTCGCTGGCAGAAGCTGCCAAACGTCAGCAGAGGCACAGCAGCTAGGAGGCCCTGGAGCCCGCACCGTACTGACAGAACTGTGCTCACTGCCGTCCTGAGAGGCCAAGGCCACGGGTCTAAGAGGATCACACAGCTGAGGGCTAGTGCGTGCCAGATATTAATAGCGCTGGCTTTGCTTGGTGTGGCCCGGACAATCCTCAGGCCAGCCCTCCGTGTGAACTGCCCCCTCCTGTGTGTGGGCTGGCACACCCGGCCTGCAGAGGACCACCCGGAGGACCACTGTGTGGCTGCACCCCCCCGGATTTCCTGGAAAAGGCTACCGTCCCCTCCTTGTCTGGGGCTGCAGAGTGAACCCCCCACAGCAGGACAGGGAAATCTGAGGCGCCTCTTGGCCAGGTGTCCTGAATGTCAGTGCTGAGCTGGGCACCCCACCCCTAGCTCCAAAGTGCTTCCTACAGGCATAAACAAATCTGAAACTCTATCCTCTGGCACCATCTGAAAATAACTGCCCTGCCCCACCCCCACGCATGGAGGCTTCTGCAGGGACCTGCAGCCACCCAGGGCTCAGCAGAGTGCAAGGGACGCAGCCACCTCCCCGCCCACAGAAACGGGGGGTGGGGTGGGGTCATTCCCACTCTCAGCAGAGTCAGTGTGCACAGAGAGGTCCTGGCAGCCCTACGCCCTCTCCCCGGGGTGGACACGTCAGCCACGGGTGTCAGCTTCCTGCTGCCACACATCTGTCTTAGAGCGCCTAACACTGAGGCAGGGTGCTGACTCCGCGTGCAGGTCACACTCCTGAAAAGTAGGCCACTCCCGGAGCTGCCTCAGAGATAGGGTGGGCCCATCTGTCTGTGTCCACAGGAGCTTCCTCTCCTCCTGCTCCTGGAGGCGGTTAAATCCTTACCTGGGAAGTGGGCAGAAGACAGCCCAGAGCCCAGGTCGGGGAAGCAGAGGCTGTCCTGAACGGGGCGCAGAGTCTGGGCTCCTGGGGGCCATGTCACCAGCTGCATGATCTCAACAGCAGAGTGGACTCAGGCTGGTCAGCCTGGCATGGGCATGCAACCTGGGTGCCCCAGAGGCAAGGCTACAGGTCTGTGGAAGCCAGTTCTGTGCTGGCCAGGCAAGGGATGCATGAGCCCAGAGACGAAGCTGTGAATGGAAGGACCAGGCCCCACCCTGGAATCGTGTCACCTTGCTGCAGCCACGTGGCCCCCAGCATGCCCCTCCACGAGGCTGCACTCGGCCACAGCAGCCCACGGCAGGGAGGGGCCGCCAGCCCTGGCCCTGTTCCCAGGGTCTGACCCGAAGAACTGGAAGGGCCAGAGAAGCCCGTTCCCACATGACCCACAGGTGCTGATGCCGCACTGGGGTTAACACTGCCCAGGGCACCTTCTGCCTGAGGCTGCCTCCTTGCAGGTGGGGCTGTCTGAGGCTAGTGGTGCTGGAGGCTGCCTCAGCCACTGCAAGGCACCGTTTACCCCTCCCTCACCTTCAGCCAGCCATCCTACTCGGGGCCACAGCATAGTCGAGTGTGGCTCAGTCCCCTCCACGGGGCCACAGCTTGCCTCCGTTTCCTCCTCAGGGACAATGGCAGGTACACTACAGGTGGGTTGGCTCATGAAGACCAAGGCAGACGCCTCATCAGTGATAAGGGCCCCATAAGTGATGTCATCATAAAGAAATAAGCACAGGCGACGGCATGGTGGCTCACACCTGTAATCCCAATACTTCTGGAGGCTGAGGCAGGTGGATCACGAGGTCAGGAGTTCAAGACCAGCCTGGCAATAGTGAAACTCTGTCTCTACTAAAAATACAAAAAATTAGCCAGGCATGGTGGTGTGCACCTGTAATCCCAGCTACTATGAAGGCTGAGGCAGAAAAATCATTTGAACCGGGGAGGCAGAGGTTGCAGAGACCCGAGATCACACCACTGCACTCCAGCCCAGGTGACAGTGTGAGACTCTGGCTCAAAAAACAAAAAAAAAAAAAAAAAGGAAAGAAATAAACACAGGCATGTGTAGAGACTTGAGGCAGGGCTGCCCCTCACAAACCACAAACTATCCACAGTGCCAAGGAAGCCAGAAGCAAACACCCAACAGCAGGGAGTGCCAGGCGTGTGAGCCCGATGCTGAGAAACAGCTGTGGAGGGAGCAGGTGGGGGAAAGGGCGCCCCCTTGCTGTGGTGCAGAGCTGTTTTACCACCCTGGGGTCTTCCTGCTGGGTGCCGCCTGACAGGTGAGGCTGAAGGGAAGTTTGCTGGATAACTAAACGGAGGCCGGAGGGAAGAGGGAGCAGGGAGGAGCTGGCCCACAGGAGCCAAAGCGGGCCTGACCCCACTGGTGCTGGACTGACTCAGGGACAGAGCCATTAGGGCAGCTTTCTCAGGCTGGATGAGCACTGGGGGATGGGGGCTTGCACAGGCCCACCCACCACTCTGGAAACCTTCGCCCAGCAGGACCTGCTCTGCACGGTCATGGGCAGCCCTTCTCTGCTCTCCACAGCCACAGCCACAGACTCCATCTCAACCGCAGCCAGGAGTCACTGCTAACACCACAAAGAACCTGTTCCTGCACCAGCATGGGCCAGCTCTGGGGCAGGTGCCCAGGGCAGAGTCACTAGTGGTAAGCAGACAATGAACAATGGGCAAGATGGACAGACTGGACTGCCATGCTGGATGATGTGGCAAGAGGAGCCCCAGACCACCGGCACAGACCTCCAAGCTGAGGGCAGCACCAGAGGTTGAAGCAGGAGCAGATGCAGGAACTTCGGGGGCTAGGCTCGGGAACAGTGAGAAAAGCCCAGGCTAGGGCAAAGGAAGCCCTGATGGCACAGGCATGAAGACTCACAGTGCAAGAAATTTGCACAGGACGACGAGAGGCAGTTGCAGGCCAGACTGGGCCCTCAGAGCGAGGAGCTGCAGTCTCCATTAGCCTGCAGCTTCCCTCTGTCCCTTGGTAGCCACACCAGAGAAAGGTAACAACAGTCTCCGCCTCCTGTGACACCGTGAGGGCCGCTGTGCCCAGCGCACAGCCCGCACACAGGGCAGGCCCAGCTGACTGCTGCCACTAACCTATGTCATCCCGGAGTGCCTTTGTCAAGAGCTCTCAGTGCTTACCTGGCGTTGGCCTGCCCCATCTTGGGTTAAATCAAAGTCTCTCTGGTGGCCAGGCGCGGTGGCTCACGCCTGTAATCCCAGGGAGGCCGAGGCGGGCAGATCACCTGAGGTCAGGAGTTTGAGACCAGCCTGGCCAACATGATAAAACCCCTCTACACTAAAAATACAAAAATGTTAGCCGGGCATGGTGGTGCAGGCCTGTAATTCCAGCTGCTTGGGAGGCTGAGCAGGAGGCAGAAGATGCAGTGAGCAGTGATCCAGTCGCCGCGACAGAGTGAGACTCCGTCTCAAAAGAAACGAAACGAAAAAAGCCTCTTTGGAACCCACAGAGGAACAGATCAATCTGGTCCTGTTAGGCTCCAGCCATGCGAAACTCCTAGGCACTGCCCACGGGGCGGGTGTGGGCCTGAAAAGACACAGGGCCGGGGGAAAGCTCTTTCTGCCCAGCAGCTCCTGGAGGGGAGCCACCCTGTGCTGGACACTCCTCCCCCTGCGGCGCCCAGCGCAGCCCATCCCTGAGGGAGTCCTGGCTCACAGCGTTTCCGACCAGAGTCACAGCCTGAACCCAGGCAAGAGGCGCCTAGGTGGGAACAGCCTCTTCCCTGGGGAACCCTCCGGCTCCCCAGGGGACACGTCAGACCCGGAAGGGAGGGGCAGCGCCCCGGGCGCCTCCTGCTGCCCCGGGCACTGCGCGGCCACCGCCCCCTGACGGTCACGACCGCAAAGGCGCCGCGCAGGGCCCCGCTCCCCGAGGGGCCACCGGCGACACGAACCCGGGTGGGAGCTGGCTCCTCCGCTGCACCCCCACAACTTCCCCTCTTCCCGCTCTTGCAAAGCCCCCGCAGAGCCTCGAAGGTGCCCCGCACGTGCGGGCAGTCAGAAGGCGTTGTGCGCCGCAGCACCCCGAGTCCCGACCCTGGCCTCGCGGGTCTGGCAGGGCCGGACCCCGAGCCGAAAACAGACCAGTTCGCACAGTCGAGTAGGCACAAGGCCCGCTGGGTGCAGGAGACCAAGGGCCGCACCCACTCGGGGCAGAAACCGAGGTCGACGCGGGTGTGCGCCCGGGCTCCTCCCCGAACCCCGAGGAGCCTGCCCGCTGGCGCCAGGTCTGTCCCCCCGGCCGCCACGAGCCCGCGGGGCCCCGCCCGGCAGCTGGGAGGACCCGGCACCGCCGCGCGGCCTCCGGGCGTGGGGGACTCGGGCTCGCGGCGAGGACGGATCACCCGCCCGGCTCCGTCAGAGCTGCCGCCCGCTCCCCGCTCGCCGGTGGACTGGAGGCGGCGCCCACGCCTACCGGTCCTCGCACGCGGTCTCGCTCCTCTCTGCCTGACGGCCTGGCGGGTCTCGGGCCGCGGGTGGCGATGTGGGCGAGGGGGCGGCGTCCGCGTGGGCCGGGGGCGCAGCCATGGCGCCGGGAGGCCTCTCCACCGGCTTGGCCGGGCTGCGCGCGCGGGCCGCCGGGAGCTGGTGGTTCCCGCTCCCGCCCACCGCGGACTACAAGCCCCACGGGGCAGTGCGCCGCGCCTACCGCGGACTACAAAGACCACAAGGCCGTCCGTCGCGGACTACAAGCCCCATAAGGCCGCGCGGCGGGCACGCGGGACTCGGAGTTCGGCCGCCGCCCCCTGCGTCACCACAAACTCAGCCGCACAAAAACCCTGGAAAAAAAATCAATAAACATTTATTTGATACAGTCATTTCAGTACATACAGTGATGGCCCGTCCCCACGCCACTCGGGACCAGGGCGCGGGGCGGGGACGAGGACCGGGGACAGATGGTCACAGGGCGGGCGGGGCCCGAGCGCACCGTCGAAACATCTCGCAAATAAACACTTTGTAGATAGAATATATATGTATATATATATGGTTACACGTGACAGCTGGAGCCTCTTTCGAAATGCACTTGTGTACCGAGAACTGGCATGAAAAACCCAACCCGAGGCCCGGGGCGCGGGGCGCGGGGCGCGGGGCGCGGGGCGCGGCCCCCCGGGCCAGGCTCGCCGGCCCCTTCCCTTCCGCGCCGCCGGCCGGGGCCCACGGGCACGCAGGGGGCAGCTCACCTGCGTCTGCACCAGCAAATAAAGTGCATCCCACTCTCGTGAGTGTCGGCCCGGCGGGTCCGCCCTCCCGGGCCCCTTCCTCTCCGGGCAGGGGGCGTGCGCGGAGCCCGAGGTAGATCTGCAGAGAGGGCCCCGACCGGGCCTCGGGCAGGGCCGGCGCCCACCACGCCCTAGGGGTCCGGCCTGCTGGTCCCTCACAGCGCTCCCGGGGGCAGGCCTTTGTGGGCCAGCGCGGGGCGTGGGCAGACCCTGCTGAGCTCCACCAGGGCCCTGCCCCTTGGGAGGTGGGCTCTGCAGACCAGCATGTGGGAGAGGAGGGCAGAAAGGAGGGGTCAGACCCAACAGCCACATCTGGCAGCAGCCCCCACGCCTACCTTAAAGACAAAGGGGCTTAAAGTGCTCACATCAAGTTACCCGGGACTCCCCTTCCCACACCAGCGACTACTTGGGGGCTTTGGGAGCGTCCCGGAAACTCGCCCCCAGCAAAAACCAGACCCTCTTCTCTCCTCCCCAAGGGCCAGGTACCTGAGAGGCTGGGGCAGGCGCCACACCCTGCAGGTGTTCAGGTCCAACCTCTTCCCCCATTGGTCGCCAGGCCGAAGTGCACCCCTGCCAGTGCCTGCTCCCTTCCCCTCGTGAGGCTGCCCCAGCAGCAGCTGCCGGACCCTGACCTCCTCCAGCTCCAGCTCCAGCTCCAGCTGCACCAGTGCAGCTCTGGGACGCAGGAAGGAAAGCCTCCCCTGACCCTCTGTCGCTGGGTCAAGTCCACTCTGTCCAAGCCTCCATCCTCTCATGAGGCCGAGGTGTGTGTGCGTTGGGGGAGTCCAGGTCTCCCACTCCCTCCCTAGCACATCCAGCCAGGGCTGCTGAGGATCAGAGCCTTGTGACAGGAAGTGCACTGCAACCCCAGTCCCCAAAGTGCTCCTGGAACTTGTCTCGCTACCACTCCAGGCCGAGCCCAGTGGGGCCCCTTCTCCCTGGGGGACGGGTGAGGGCGGGTGCTGGGGGCAGAGGCAGTACCCAGTACTGCCTCCCTGAGCAGCAAGGGACCCAAACCCCAGAGGTCCATGCCCAAACCCCAGGGCCACCATCTGCACCAGGAAACCCTTAGCACCAAATGTCAGATTGTTGTGAGTTTTTGTATAAAAAACAATTTAAAAAAAAGGTTGTTACTTGTCACAGCAACAAGACTGGCATCCACTACACCCAGGAGACACGCACACGGGCAAACATCAAAATTCACATCATCCACGGTCAGTGGGGATGAGCCCTCAGCCCACTCCCACCCACCCTGGAAAATGGCCTCCCACCAAACCCGCCCCCTCTGAGCCTCATCCTCCCTGCAATGCTGTGGTTGGAAGGCAGGGCCCAGGGAAGGAGCCAGAGGCTGTGGCCACCTCTTCCAGGCACCCCGGACTCCCTGCCTGACCCCTGTCAAACCTATAGACCCAGCCACCCTCAGGGCCACAAAGGGGCAAAGACACCTCTGGAGCTGCCACCAAACTGCTGTGACTTTGGCCAAGCCCCTCCCTGGCTGGCCTTCAGTTCTCATATCAAATGACCACACAACCAGAAACAATGGGGCAGGTTAAAAAAAAAAAAGTGGGGAGGGGGCTCCCATGAGAGCTTGGCCACTGGGCCTACCCAGACTGGCAAACAGAAGGCTGTCTTCCCCCAGTGGCCACTCAGAGCCAGGCCAGCTCTGCCCAGCTTCCCGCCCCACAGCCCAAGGGCTCCGGGAAGACCCCAGGGCCCAAATTAGTCCATCCCTACTCCATGAAGCTATTCCAACCTAGGCCTGCAGTGCCCAAAGGCTGAACGCTGGAGGCAGAGCACACTCCACGGGCAGCACCCCCAGGGCTGGTGGCTGTGTTAGAGGGCATCAAGCTCCTGCTGCCTTGTAGGTGCCAGAAGCAAAACCCCTCCCTTACCCCAAGCTGGGAGCACTACAGACAGGCCTGTGGGACAGGGCCTGAGCACAGCAGGGATTGCAGTGACAGAGAAGGCGCAGGGGTAGGGGGAGGGGACCAGGCCTGGAGAGGTAGAAGAGAGAAGCAGGGGGATCAAGTGGGTGGCTGAGGGTGGGCAGGAGCTGGTCAGCTCAGCATGGCAGTGGTCAGACGGGGGTCTGTCCTGGGAGGTAGCTGGGGGTGCTGGAGTTCCAGTGTTGGGGGGGTGAGGCCAGGATGGTGGCTGCTGGCTGCCGGGTGGCTCAGGTGCCCTCACCAGCCCAGAACCACGGGTTACCAGGGACGCCTGAGCCTTGGGGGAGCCAGGGTGTGGCCCCAGCAGGGCCTGAGGAAGCAGAGCAGGGGAGCCAAAGGCCATCCGCCTGCTCTGCACTGCAGCCCCCGTGGCACCAAGGCCCCAGACACATTCCCACCGGCAGGGGCCCCCCTCCCGGCTATTGCACTTCTCCTGGGCACACCTTGGAGAGCCCCAACCCAGGTGTGCCCTGTGGCAGCCTTAACAGGGAAGGGCCACCTTCAGGAAAGGGAGAGTGGCTGGCTGCCCCCTCTGGACGGATGAAGAGGCAGGGGTGGAGGAGAGAAAGTGGAGGACGGAGGTCCTGGGGCTGGCCCTGCCCCGACGGAGCGCGGCGTGGCGGCTGCATGGGGGCTAGGCCCCACCCACCAAGCTCACTTTTCAGGCGCCTTGCTGGCTCCCAGCTTCCGGCCAGTGGAGCCCCGGGCCCCCTTGTCCCTGCATCCCAGGGGCCAGTCGTCCCGGCGCAGGGGCAGCTTGGGCACAGGCTCCTCTGGGGGCCGTTCCTTCGGCTTTCGGCCCCGCTTCTTCCCACCTGCCAGATTTTTCTTCTTTTCCTTCTTGGGCACCAATGAGTCCTGGCTCCGGTGTTTCGGAGGTGGGTCGGCTGATGTTCGGAACCAGTTCTGGGGAGAGGAAAGCGCTGATGTGGACACTGGACACTGAGCGCATGCGCCAGGTGCGGCCTGAGAGCTGAAGGCCTGGCAGCCTTTGGGGCCAGGCAGGCACCTGCAACCAGGCTGCCAGGGGCGGGACCGGTGGACACCCTCGGGGCGGCTCCAGCCTCCCAGTTCTCCCAGGGAAGGCGGACCCCACTGAGGAGAAACCACCAGATTTCTCCATGTTGACCGCTCACCCAGGCACACTCCATGCAGGCCACTGACCTCTCCACCCCCAAGGGGTGCCCAACCACGGCCCTGGCCCCTCCTGGGCTAGCCCCCAGCCACAGGCCCTGGTGATGGTCCTCGCACCTCTGCGTGGGTCTTGAGAATGTGGTATTTGACGCCACTCTCAGAGCTGAACTCCTTCGGACACAGCAGACAGTGGTACTTCCCCGCCAGGTGGGCCCCCTGCAATGCACAGGCAGGCCAGCCCCCAAAGGTGAGACCCGCCCCAGCCCTTGGAGCACCTAAAGCACCCAGATCTGTCCTAAGCCCTTACTCATGGCTAAAGGGTCAGGGTCCGGGGTGGCCAAAGGAAAGCTGAGCAGTGCTGGGGACCATGCCCGAGAAGTGCCGGGTACCACTGGGTTGCCAGGGCTGCAGGGGTGGTGGGGGAGAGGGTCAGGAGAGGCAGGTGTCCAGGGGAAGAGCTACAGACCTTTGCTGAGCATCCCTTATTCCAAGGCAGTGTGCCCTCTGCCTGGATCGGGGTGCCCACTCACGCCCACATGGATGCAGAGCCCCAAGGACAAGATGAGGACCCGCTGGCTTATCATTGAGGCCAGGGGTCAGGGAGGTGTCCTAGGTTGGCCATCAGCCTCTGGCCAGTCTCTGGGTTCATGGAAGAGGCAGCCTAGTGGAAAAAGTAGGGGGCAGGGCAGGGTCCCAGAGTATTGTGGGGGAGCCTGCACTGGGTGAGCTGGGAGCTCTGACTGCGGCACCTGGCTGTGGGGCAGGCCCCAGAACTGACCTTGCTGCAGCTGGCAAGATGAGCCTTGAGTCCGGACACGCTGGAGTAGATGGCTTCACAGCACTGCGGGGGAGGCAGGCGTGGGCGAGTGGGCACCCCACACCAAGATACACCCCTGCCCTAGCCCAGGGGATCTCTGAGGCCTCTTTGGGGCAAGTGAGGGTGTGTGTGTCCTGGGGACTGGGCAGGTTGGGCATGCAAGGCCTGGGTGGGCTGGGCACCTCCTGCAAGGTCTCAGCCTCCACTCCTGCCCAGAGGGCCACACCCGGGCTCTGTCCCTGCATGGCTCCCCACGCGCCCCACCCGGCTGCCTCCGCTCACATCGTTGGGACAGTTGACGTGGCCTTTCTCCTTCACTTCATTCTTCCACGCCTCTAGCAGCTGGGGGTTCAGCGTGGGGAGCCCCGGCCGAGTGTAGTTGAGCTGTGAATTCAATAGCAGCAGGGTGAGTCCCAAGCCAGAAGACACCCCAGCTACTCTAATGGTTGCCTCAGTAGCAAGTGACACTCGCCACGGGGGGGGGGCAGCGGGCGGCCCAGGTCACGGGGGTGGCTGTGCCAAGGCTCAGGCCAAGGCAGGTCCTGCCCAGAGGCCACAGTGCTTCCCCAGCACCGGGCGGGCAGCTCACCCGCGCAGTCTCAGGTACGAGGTCGTCCTTCATGCGCCGCTTGGTCCAGTCGCGGGCCAGCTCGTCCTCCGCTATCTCCTGCAGGTGGAACACGGCCACCTGGGCCGACGTGCGGCGGACACGCCCACTTGGGGTCCGCTCCACACCCAGCAGGTCCTCAGCCTCGGGGGACTTGTCCGTGGGCTCCTCGGGGGGCTGGGGGGCATGGAGGCCAAAGTGAGCCACAGGAACAAGATGGCAAGAGGCAGGTCAGGTCAGCGCACAGTGGGCCACCCCAAAGGCCAGCGGACCTCCAGGCCTCGCAGCGTGCTGAGGACATGGCTGACGTAGCCAACCCCGGGGAACATGGAGGTTTCACCCTTCCACCTGCCAGGACACACATCTCGTACACAGAGGGCGGGAAACGCAGGCGTTAGGCGGCACATGGACACACACAGCTGGTACCCAAAACACACGAACAAGCACTGCGCCACAGCACGGGGCCACGGCAGAGCCACTCACGGGGGCCGTGTGCTCCGAGCGCACGTGGTAGTCGTGGCCGGCCTTGGATCGGTATGTCTTGCCGCAGTGGGCGCAGGGGAAGGAGGGACTGTCCACCTCACAGGGCGGCTTCCCGCAGCGCCGCTGGTGGTACTGGTAGCCCATGAGGCTGGAGAAGGCAGCCCCACAACCCTGGGGGTCAGACCAGAGAATGGGTGAGTGGCCAGCAGGGTGCCCCCCATGCCCCACCCCCCCACCCCACCACCCCTGTGGCCCCCCGCCCCCCCCCACCCCTGCCCCACCCCACCATGGCCCCCGCTGACCTCCTGGGGGCAGCGCAGCCGTCCCATCTGCTTCAGCACCTTGCGCAGCCGCTCGCGCTCCTCCTGCTCGCCCCCCTCAGAGGCCTCGGTGTCGGAGGGCTGGGGACAGTCTGAGTCTCGGTGACCCACCCCCACCATGGGGTCCTGCCCCGGCCCCACCCCACCCAGGTGTCAGGCCCCCCATCATCCAAGGCTGGGTACTGGGGGCGCCATGGTGAAGGTGGGGCGAGGTCAGAGGTCACGCTGGATGGGGACTGGGCCGCGGTACCTTGGCGCTGTGCTCTGCCATGGTGTGGTAGTTGAGGCCCGCCTTGGACTTGAACTGCTTCTGGCAGTGCTGGCACTTGAGTGCATCCTGCAGCTGCAGAGGACCCACGTGTGGGAAGCCTGCCCACGGCTGGGCCTCCCTCCCAAACCTGTGCCTGTCACCAAACCCATTACGGCCCGCTGCCTTACCTTCTGACACACCTCCATGTGCTTTTTGAGTCCCACAAGAGTCTTCCGGGTGACCACGTTGCAGGTGGGGCAGACGGCTTCCCCGCGCTCGTGGATGGCCCGCTGCCACTGCTCCTCGGGGCCGCCTGTGGGCAAGGCAGGGGCCTCGAAGGTTGTGGGGGTCCTGGGTGCCCTGGACGCCAGGCACAGAATCCAGTCTCCACACTCAGCCCCATCCCTGCCCTGTGGGATCTACCCGCAGCCTAGAGCTGCCCTGGGCCCCTGCTGGGCAGCCCCTACCTGGGGCTGCGTGGGCTGGTGCCTCCTTGCCGATAGCGATGGGGGCAGCTGGCACCTTCTTCCGGACATCATCAGGGCCCAGACCCTCCTGCTTCTTGGAGCGGTGAACTCGGGCCTTGTCCTCAGCTTTGACCAGGCCTGTGGGCACACAGGGGGCGGGGTGAGGCAGGGGTGGGCTCAAGGGCTGTCCCTCAGTGGACACCCCCAGCCCTGGAGGTGCGCACAGGTGGGGGGTCTTACCTTTGAGCCCAAAGGTCCCTGAGATGGATGGCTGCTCCCCTGTAAACTTCTTGGGTGTTTTCTGTTTCCTTCCTGACTCGGGGAGAGAAAACGGGGGCCAAGACTCTGGTCAAATAACCTTCAGGAGGCGGAGCCGGCCCCGCCCGCTGCCCCTGGGGCTCTCGTCTTACTGTGCTTTGTGCGCTCAGGGTCCTCCTCAGGTGGGGACGCAGGGCCCGCAGCTCTCAGTGCCTCTGGGCCCCCTGAGGGCCTGCTGCCCGGCGACAAGGAGCCGCTGCTGGTGTCTGCACTCAGCTGGAAGGCCGAGCTCTGGCCCAAGGCGGAGGGGCCGTACTCCCCGTTCTCTGGCCTGGCCTGCTTGGGTGGAATTGGGCAGGCATCCAGGCTGTCCGCAGCCCTGCACGGAGCAGGTGAGGTGAGGGCCAGGAGGGCCTAACTTTGGGCCCCATTACCACCAGGCCATGGCCAAGGAGCACCCCAACCTGGAATGAGCCCCATTACCTTTTCTTACCACTGCTCCTCCCTGTGGCACGAGGTGCTTTGTTTTCAGACTTGGTCAGCAGCACCATTTTGCAGGGCGGTGTGTGTCTGCTGATGGCAATGGGCCTGTTGACCGTCACCGGCTTGCTGACCACAATGGGCCTGCTGACTGTCACTGGCTTGGTAACCGGCATGGGTTTTGTGACTGTCACAAGCTTTGTGACCGTAATGGGTTTGGTGACAGGTACAGGTTTGGTGACCGGCACAGACTTGGTGACTGTGATGGGTTTGGTGGCCGGCACGGGCCTGGTGACCGGTATGGCCTTGGTGACCGGCATGGGCCTGCTGATGGTGACAGGTTTGGTGGCCGGCACGGGCCTGGCGACCGGCATGGCCTTGGTGACCGGCATGGGCCTGCCGACCGAGACCGGCTTGCTGATGCCTATGGGTTTGCTGACACCCACGGGTTTGCCGATAGTGACGGGTTTGCTCACTCCGATGGGCTTGCTGACCCCAACGGGCCGGCTGATGGTGACCGGCCGGCTGATAGGCCCAGGCTTGGGGGCAGGCAGGGGCCGGTCCACGTGGTTCCAAGTCCGGTGTTTCTCCAGCTGGGTCTTAGAGGTGAACGCGGCCTCGCAGAAGGGGCAGGGGAAGGCCAGCCGATCTGAGATGGCACCCTGGGCAGGTGTGGACAGGTGTGGGACAGGGCCCCAGGGGCCTCTGCGCAGACACACCCCGAGGCCTCCTCTTCCCCAACCCACAGTCCCTTACCCCTTGGCACCGCTGGTAATGGTACTTGAGCCCGTAGATGCTGGGGAACTCCAGCCAGCACCCCGAGTTTGGACACTTCACCCTCGAGTGTGCCTTGAACTCATCCTTCCAGTCATTCATCAGGGAGAGCTAGGCATGGGGAAAGGCGGCGCTGCTGACCTGCAGCCACCGGGGCCACCGCCAGCCCGAGCCCCAGACTCAAGAGCCCTCCCTGGGCCTGCAGGGCACACACACCATGTGAGCCCCTCAACCTCGGGACTGTGGTGGGAATTCAAGCCATTCCGGCAGTGGCCAGGCACAAGGCCTGTTCTGGGAGCCCACCAATGTGACCCCCGGAATCTCACGGCACATCAAATACAAAGCCAGGCCTCAGGAAGCCTGCCAGCCCAGTGCCCACACCTGAGGCATAGAGTTGGTACCAGATGTGCAGAGGACAGATCAGGTCAGGACAGTGGCTGGACAGGGAGACCCCAGATGAGCCCCAGCATGGCCCTGATGGATAGGGAGACCCCAGGTGAGCCCCAGCGTGGCCCTGAGGGAGCTCACAGGAATGTCTCGGAGGGTCTGGGTCTCAGCTTTTGGCCGCCCCTTTTTCTTCCCTTCTGTCTTGTCGCTGGCTGGACTTCCTGGGTCAAAGCAGAGAGGAGCTTGGCCGGGCACTGTCTGTCCACCACGGACCACCGGCATCCCTGCAGCACACAACACAGCAAGGCTGGAAGCCATGCAGCACTGCCGACCGCTGGGGGCTGCCCAGGCCCACGATGAGCACCACTGTCCCAACACCAGGGCGCCGGGCAGGGGCTGCGGCCAGCTGAGGACAAGAACCTAGGGCCCTGGGCTACGTCCAAAGCGATGCTACCCTGCTTAGGTCCTCAGGAACTCCATGGCCCAGCTGGGTGCCTGGAGACAGGACGTCCGGGAGGTGGCCCGCTCCTACCACTTGCTGCCCAAAACCACCTGGAATCGACTTTGGCCCTGACTCCTCTTACCCATCTTTGGTGGGTCGTGCAGCATCGGCAGTCGGACCTCCTTTCGGCCGCCATCCTTCCCAGGACCACTCTTGCTGGACCCTGGGAGCCGACGGCCTCCAACACAGAAAGGATCCGTCATCTCTGCAGAGCAAGTGGACATTCTGTGAAGCCTGACAGGTCCCCTGTGAACACGTGGTGGGGCTCCTGGAGCCCCATCCTCCGCAGGCCCTCTCTGATCAGGGAAGAGGAGCTTGGCCTCCGTGGTTTTGCTCACATGGGAAAGCAAGTGATGAGGGCTTCGGACGTAGGGGGAGCTGCCTGTCAGGGTCTCCCCAGACAACCCAGGAGGCAACATCAGTTTGGAAGGAGCTAGTCCTGTGCTGAGACCCTCACCAACTTCCAGACCCCCTTCCTGACAGGTGTGCAGCCGTGAAGATGCTGCCGAAGCTGACGCACTCCTACCCAGAGCTGGGAGGGGTGTGTCCCCGGGAGAGGTGCCTGTGCAGGAGGAAGGAGGCTGGCAACATTCCTCCGGGTTCCAATTATGTCTCGGGTGATGGCTGCTGGCTCACAGGCTGCCTGGGCCCAGCGGGGGGGCCCAGCTTCTCACTGGGGCCCTCATCCCTTCCCAGGCAGACCTGATGCAATGCCAACCCACCCAGGCAGACACCCTTGCAATCCTCACCAGACGCAGATGGAAAACAGTTGAGGTGGACTGAGGACCCCTGGGCCACTCCGGCACTGCACCCAGCTCCTGTGCCCCCTCTTGGTGGCCTTGTCTCCAGGCATGGATGCTGACCTGCCCCCCACCCCACCTCTCTCTGAAGCCTCTCAAGTCCCGTTTTCCCGTTTACTGACCCGCCACCACCACTTCAACCAAACCAGTCTCAGAAGCACCGGAGTGAGCCCAGGCTGCTGGCCAGAGAGAACTGCCCTGCTGCCCCAGGCTGGGCCCCCGAGGGCCTGTGCTGCTGCGAACCCCAACCCGAGAGGTGGGGAGCAGAGGAGATGCTGGGCCCAGCCCCGTGGAAAGGCCCTGGAAGGGGGTGGGACAGGAAGCAGGGTGAGGGCTGAGTGGGGAGGTGGCCCCTCCTGGCAGCTTCTAATTAACTTGGATCCCAGGGGATGGGAAGGGGCTGCTGCGACCCGGAGGGCCAGAGAGCTGGGGTCAGAGGTCAGGACAGTCATCGCCCATTGCCAGGGGGGCGGCCAGTGTTGGGGACAAAGTTCTCTGGAAGGCCTCCCTTTGCAACTTCGAAAGGAGACAGGGCCGGCAGGAGTCATCCCGGCCCCTGACGACCCCGGTGGCCTGGGGTGCAGGTGCCTGCTGAGGCCCCGCGTCCAATTTTTTTGAAGCCTGGGCGAAGAATTCACAGTAGCGGGACCTGAGGCCAGGGCCGGCCTGGGGGCAGAGACGCGACTCGCGCCCCGGATGGGAAGGGGCTTCGGCCCTCCCGAGCCCAGCGGGGTCACCAAGCCCCGGCGCGGAGAGGGGGCCGGCGGCGCTGCGCGCAGAAGACGCCGGCTGCGGGGCCGCCGCGTAGGCCGCTCGGCCCGGGACCCCGGCCCAGGCCCGGCGCGCGGGGGAGCGCGGCCAGGGACGCGCACCCCGGGCCGGCCTCGCCACCCACCTGTCACCTGGGCCCGGGCGCGGGGCGCGGGCCTCGGCCTGGCCGGGCAGGGCCGGTCGCGGGCGCGGGGTGGGGGGGCGAAGGCGGTGAACCAAAATGGCGACTTTTTCTGGAGAAGGAGGAGGCAGGAAGACGGCGCCGGC